GAAAGCCAACCCTCTAGCACTCCCAACTTCGACACAGACGCAACAGCCACTGGGGGCCCAGCTGGATCTGCAGACGGTGCAGAGGTCCCCGACCTACCAGTCTTCCCATCACTGGACCGCACCGCATTCCGACTTGGAGAACTGACAGGGGAAGACTCTGTGACAGCCATCGTTGAGGCGTATGAGGTTGTCGTCCACTTCCGCCCCAACCTGTTCCCAGTTCCCCAGGGCACCGTCGGTCGCTCGTTCATCTCCCAGCTGAGTGCCTTCTTCCACAGCTTTGGCAGTGCCTCGGCCTCAGAAGATGTCGCACTCAAGGCGGCGATGGTCTTCCCACAGCTGATGTTACAGAACCCGCAGGGCAACCATACCAAGCCGTCTCCACAGGAACACCTAAGGAGACGTCTAGAACTTTGGCGAACAGCAAGCCTGCCGGAACTGCTCCGCGAGTCAACCACCATCCAGAAGCAGGTCCAGGACAGGCACCAGCCAGCCGCCCGATCGACCCCCCCTGACCTGGCAAGGGCGTTCGCCGCTAATGTGTCCTCCGGCAAACTACCATCCGCCCTCCGTCAGCTATCAAGTGGTGGCTGCAAAGGAGTTCTCAGCCTGGACACCACTGTCGGCACTGATACCACCCGTGACCTTCTTATCAGCAAACATCCGGCAGGGGAGCCGGCTGATGCAGAGTCTCTGCTCACGGGTGAGCCACCTGTTCAGCCCCACAGAGTGATGTTCTCAAGCCTGACCCGTGACGTCATCCGCCGGGCCGCCCTGCACACCCACGGCGCGGCTGGGCCATCGGGCATGGACGCTGATGGATGGCGGCGCATGTGCACCGCGTTCTCCGAAGCGTCGGATGAGCTGTGTGACTCGCTTGCAACATGCGCTCGTCGCATTGCTACCACATACGTCAACCCAGCGACACTGGAGGCGCTCGTCGCATGCAGATTAATAGCCCTTGACAAATCGCCGGGTGTTCGACCCATTGGTATCGGCGAAGTGGCCAGGCGCATTGTCGGCAAAGCCATCCTCACTGTCACCGGGAGAGATATCCAAGATGCAGCGGGCACCCTTCAACTGTGTGCCGGTCAGGAGTGCGGCATTGAAGCTGCCATCCATGCGATGCAAGATGTCTACCGTGAGGAGGATGCGGATGCCATATTGCTCGCCGACGCTTCGAACGCCTTCAACCTTGTTCTGCTGGGACGGTACCCACTCAATGGTGACGGACAGCTTCGCGGTCGCGACAATGTCGTCGATGATGTTTAGTCGTCGGCGAACCAACACTTCGTTCAGACCGGACACCTTGACACGCCGCTCATTGTTCAGGCACGACTTCACCCAGCCGTACACGGTCTTGGAATCAGTGACAAGACGGATGTTGCTGGCGTTCCATTCGACTGCCGTCGACAACCCACGGATTACTGCTTCCAATTCTGCGATGTTGATATGCTTCTTCTCGTCGGCATCGCGAAGCCAAGACTTGTCCTCCATGACTTCACCACCAACTTCGGCAACAATGCCATATGCGACATCAGACGCATCGCACCACACGGTGAGCTGCTGCTCGTTTACTGACGCATTCCACACGCCTGTGGCCGGATCCTCATCTTGGACGCGACTTGCTAGTTCGGCACAACAGGTTACCACATCATTGGGGACGTCATCATCCCAACCACCACCATCACGACATGCTAGGCGCTTCAGAAAGCTGCAGGCAGGTCGCAGCCACGAGCACACGGGATAGTGCGATACCAGTCGGCCGCACCACGAGAATACACCACGCTTGGTCAGCTTGCCACACTCGAGACTCACTCCGTCTCGACGCTTCCAACGGGTTTGACCATCTTGGCCAGTGAACAGCTGAAGTCCAAGTACTCGGGCGGAATTGGCGGGCTCAGCTGGCTTCGTGCGCAGGCCATAGCGCTCGAGGGTATCCGCAACAGCCTTTGTCTGCGGTTTCGGGACGTACAGATCGTCAACGTAATTGTCAACACCATCATGATCTCGCGTGCACCACTTGACTATCACGTCCATGAACTTCGGTGCAACGCTCAACCCGAAAGCCATGCGGGTCATCACGTACAGCTTTCCCCTCCATTTCACGCACTGATACCGTAGCAACTCAGGTGACATACGGACTTGCAGATAGGCCTTTCGAATATCCAACATCTCATACTCGTTGGCATCGTGCGTACGCCACTCACGCAACTTCTCGCCACACACAGAGGCATCCATACCGGGCTGAGACACGAGGGCACGGTTCAGCGCACGGTAGTCGAGGCAAGGCCTAACAGGTGTAGTAGGCTTGTGCTCCTGGCTGACTGCAAGCCATGGCAGAATTGCAGCAGGAGCTCCGTGTACCTCTTCATCATGCTCGATGAGCCATCCGTTACCGATCCAGGAGTCCACTTCTTGCTGGAACAGCTTCTCCTGATCATCGCTAAGTTTCCGGGGGTACTCCCCAATGCCGCTGCCGATGCGTCCGGTAGGTGGCTTGTCGTCCTTCCACCTCCATGCTGCTTGCCAACACTGCTCATCTGCTAGCCACTTTATCTGACCATCCTCGACAGATAGCGTCACGTCCTCACCGTCTTGCACCACGCTAACATGCCGAGACGGGTGCTGATCCGGCGACTGCAGAGCATCACTAACGACAGACGACACAGGCTCAGGACTGGCGGGTGACGGACCAAACAACACGGACCGCAGATCACCTGACTCAGAGTACTGCAACCTGACGCCACCGATGGCACGGACAAGGTCAGATCCCAGCAACAGGTCAGCATTAATAACCGACAGCTCAGGAACTACAAACACAACAACACGGGTAGGCGGCAAATTTACGGGTCCATCCAGGCGACGAATCGTTAGTGAAATTGACCCCGAAATCGGCAGGGCTTCGCCATCCAGGGCGAGGAGCTTCTCCTGCTTTACCGCCGACACTTGGCTACACATCTTAGCCGCACGTATAAAGCCAGACGACACTAGCGTGCGAGCCGACCCGGTGTCCAGCATGGCCTCTCCACGGCACCAGTCATCCGGCTTGGCCGACTCCACGTCCACATAGATCCTCGGCAAGGGGGCAGCTTCAGTGGACACCGCACACAGGCACTTGTCACTGCTACTATGCGACGTACCAGCAGCCGCCACACGTTCTGCTGCCTTGGCTTCTCGCCACTTCCTTCTCTCAGGGCACGCTGGCTTTGCATGACCAGGCTGATCACAAAAGTGGCACACTACTGGTCCACTGAAACGGGGCTTCTGCTTCTTCTTGAACTCTGGGCAGTTACGCTGGACATGCCCAGGCTGGTTACAGTTATAGCAGACAACAGTACTGCGAGCTGGTCGGTGTACACCTCCACTGTAACTACTGGTACTGGCACTAGCAGAAACGCTCTGGCTGAACCTGCTCGTGTACCGAGCATCGGTCTCACTGGCTCTGAGCGCACGCACACGCTCTAGACACGCAGGTATCGTCAGCTCTTGGCCAGCCAGTGACATTCTCAGCTGGCGGCCAAATTCGGGCTGTAGGCCAGCGATCAGTTGCTCGATCACGATCGGATCCTTGCTGGCGGTACCACCCGGTTTGTGCCCCGACAGCGCTGCATAACGCTGCAAATCGGCCACATACGCGTCGACACTTTCATCCACACGCAAACAACGGCGCTTGAACAAATCATACGCTCTGGACGGCGTCACACTGAACGCACTCACTAAAACTTTCTTGACCTCTGCTTGTTTGCTTTTGTCACTCTCTGCCATACGAGAAAACACTCGAAATGCATCGCCCTGCAAATATAAGGGTAGATGTTGCATGCGTGCATCTTCGTCGGACCATTCCTTGGCAGTGGCCAAAACTAAAAACTTTGCCCAGAATTCCTCTAGGTCTTCACCATCCTTGCCAGAAAACGGCTGGACAAGATACTTGGTAGACATGATTCACTCGAGTATTCCACGAACACACAGTAGGAACTCACAGTAGGAACTCACAGTAAGAACTCTCGTCTCACAAAATAAATAAATCACTACGACACTCGTACTCCGAAAACACTTTCCCGGCTCTTTCCCGGGTTTCGGCACCACAAAGTTGTGGGAGAACTGGAGCTATCTAGTCTCTCTATCACCCCTCTTCGCCCAACACAACACACCAGCGCAAACGGCAGCCTCTTGGTGGAAATGTATGAATCACGAAAAATGCAAGTAGGAAAAGGAGAGAGAACAAGAAAAGAACCACAAGAACACGAAATCACGAGCACTTCAGCCAGGAAAAGACACGTCTAAAACATGGCGTCCAACATGGCGGCAGACCAACCGATAGAGGCCCGTCGTGGCTGAAGCTGCTATTGCAGCGACAGCCATCACGGCCACCATTGAATGCAGAAAATAGATCAGAAAACGAAGTCGAGCAACAGCAACTCGAACGAAGCAAAGAAAACAACAAGACTACGCGCAGCAAGCAAAGGCATAGCGATGACATCATAAGTCACGCGTGAACACAGAATCTAGCATGCGCATGCAGCCTTGCAGGCGCTGGCGAAATAAATAATGAAGTCAAGACACAAATAAATAACACAACGATCGACGAGCGATCGTTGCAGGAAAACAATTACAATTCAAATATACTACTTCAAGGAAAGATGAGAAGTGAAACGACTAGCACTAGAAGAAATAGAATAGAATATAGAACAAGGACAATGGAAGCGGACTACGGATGAAGCTACAATGAGGTAAGAGCCATGACACACTGATGACAGATGTCACCACAACAAATACATAATCGTAATGTTTGTCTACACACACATTGTATCGTCACACTACACACATTGTCATATTGTCACATGTTGATTCTTCACAAAATGTGTTATTTTGCCCGTACAAGAGGCTCAGTTTTCCGTGTGAAAAAACTCTTGGTCACATGTTGCCATAGCTAGCTAAAGGCCGTATACTATACCGTATCCGTACTTGTAGTTGTACTCATCGCCAACGCAGCTTTGTGCCACCCACGCACAAAAAATTGAAAGCCAAAGGGGAAGACAGTTACGGGACAGTGATCCATGGCTGTTGAGTGTTGTTCCATTCACGAAGTCCAACTCCAAGGCTTCAAGTAACTTAGTTCAGAACAAAGATGTTGTTGTTGAAGTAGCTTTTAGTTGAGGCGTCTATCAGTTCGTAGACGTCAGTATCTGTAATTAATTTGTTTTGATGAGGAGAGGTAGAAGGCAGCGAAGTTGGTAACTTGTACATACATAATCATTGTATACGACTTTTGAATTGTAGTCAAATTTTCACAAATTTTCAGCCAACGCGTACCAGTTATAGTTGTGTGCCCTGCTTTGTTTGTGGTTGACTGGGCTGTTGTTGCCTTGAAAGAGAAAGATGCTGAACTCCACGTTCCGCCGCGGCACTGCACCAGTTTGCTCCGGTTGCCGATCATTGTTTTCTGGCGTCCCGCGTCGAGGCGGCAGCGAGACGTCCACGGACGACGGTGTCGGGTGGTCAGAGAACGGCAGCTGTACCAGCGCTCGCGATGCCATTGTAACATCGACGAACAACACAGCCAGGGCCGCACAAGAGCTGATCAACTCGTCATCGCACAGAAATGGACGCGTGAATCTAGTCAAATCGGATTTCTATCACCAGCAGAAGATAGCCTTGATGTCAGAGAAAGTAAGAGAGACACCACGGAATACTGCCGAAGAATGTCAAAATAATTGCCAGATGTCTTCATTCAGTGACCAAACATTGTACCGCAGTGCAATTTGCCAAATAATTATAAGGAAGATCGATCAGCACTGTTGCACACTGTTCGATCACTGGGAAGCAGAAAAAATGTCAGGAGCACAGCTCGTCCACTTTTGTCGTCTCCAAAATCAATTTTTTGATCGTAATGAAGATGCTGCAGTGGTGCAGACAAATCGCCATAAAACCCAAACGCAAGAAATACAACCCACCACAGATTATGGACGCAGATTCATTGGGAGAGAAGCGTTTCAACCGCACGCACACCCCGTGCGTGCACACACACGCACGCGCATACACACACCATACCACACCACATGCACACACAGACACATTGATCCTTGATAGTTGTCGTTTTGGTTCAAAACCGGTCTATATTCTTCCATACCGCTGCAGTAACACGCATCTCATGTCACTGTCCAACAAGACACACATGCAAACCAGTGCCTGTCGTGTTTGTCAAACAATGCATACTAGTACTGCATTTTCCGGAGTACATGTATAAGCTGCACCATGAACACTCAAAAGTCTCCCCTACCAATGGGAGTGTGGCTTATACTCCGATGATCAAATTAACGGTGATAAAATAGGGTACTGTAAAAGCCATTATTCTAACGAGGCGCATATATAACGATTTCCCAAAATCGACTGGTTTCCGTGTACCAAAGGTAACGATTTTCACTTATTCTCAACGCTCAATAGTATATGTATCAATATTATAATGTATCGATAGTATATATAGTATATGTATCGATTTCTGTATATCGATTTCTATTTTAACGACAGATTTCTCCTTGTTAACTCGTTAGAGTTAGCACTTCGTTATATATATGGCTTTTACAGTAGATGTCTGTGTGTCGCAGCAAAAAAATGGGGGGAGGGGGGGGGCAGCTTATACTCCCCAAAATAGTTGAAAACACGGTTCATGTGACCTAGTGCAATCAATCTACCGGTATTCAGTTTAATTTGTACCCTTTATAATATAAGACGAGACCGAAATAAAATCGAGATTCCCGGGCAGGGCCCGTGTGAAATTTGGTGCTGGCCTGCGATTTTTTTCTCGTTTTTCGTGTACGTTAACGGTTTCGCAGTTTACCTGTACATTTTGTTTGTATTTCGGCCGACGACGTGCCGGCCTGCAGCGTTGATCTTCTAGCTACTACTTACTACTGCCGTATAATCCCGCCAGAGCGCCCCTACCTCCACAACCATTCGAGTAAATCCATTTGGGGAGGGGCGGATGGGCGAGTCCTACTTGCTGCATTCAGTGGTACTACATGAACAGTGCTCACCCTTCGAAAACTGTGCGTGCGTCTCGTACACCGACCAGAGGTCAAGAGCTGGGAGTCGTACAAACCCGTCGAAACCCTAGGGTTTGTGCGATTCCTGGTAAAAGAGGGTGGGAACTGTTGCGTGCATTTCCTACCAGGTCGAGAACGCGTCTGCAGTACAGTACGGGGTACGGTCTCACACGTACACATGTGCCAGTACAGTGGCGTAATCGGAACTGGTCCAGAACGTCAGTTTTGCACTTCTGGTGAGATTTCAATGAGCAGAACTGTACATTGTGGATCTACTCAAACGATTAGCATACTGTACATAATGAGTACATAACCCGAGAGTATGGCTGCGTTCGTTTTTAGCTACCTGGTAGAGTAGAGTAGAGTCACTCTACCGATAGAGGTAGATGGTAGAGGCAAGTGTACGAACGCTGTTCTACCTGATTTAGTAGTTTACACGATGTGTGCGTGAATCGTTTCTTTTTGTATGGAGTTGTGTACGAATCCTTGATCTTGCTGGAAATCCCGTCTATCTACCAACTTCTACCAGATTCTACCAACCTTTTCCTGGTAGAGCCGGTAGAGGAAAGTAGAATCTACCCTTTTGAACCCTTTTGAGTAGATTTTTTTTCAAAAACCGAACACCTCTACCGAAAGAAGTAGTTTCTACCCAAACCGGTAGATCAAAAACGAACGCCCCCTTAGTACTCTTGTGCACGTGTACATGTACAGGAACTGTTAAAAATAAAATAACAATGACCTCGCCTCGATGTTGGTGCGAGCGGGCCCGGGATCTCGATTGTTCTGGTCTCGACTCCAGAGTAGCAAGAACGGTTAGCCGTGTTCCTTTGCAAAGTGTTGTAATACACATGTGGATATGTAGGCTCGGATGGAGAGCCAAGGATTAATTTATAGAAAAGGACCAAGGAACTACAAGTTACGCTATAATGTCCAGTAACACCACCAGTTACTAAACAATCAGCTCATGTGAGGACATTATAGCGTAACTTGTAGGTCCTTGGTCCTTTTTCTTTTCTATAGATATGAAGACAATAATTATTGTCATGTTGCTGACGGGTTTTTTTTTGTGCTTTTCCTTGCTTCGAACTTCCCGTGTTCGGTTTTGCAGAAATCCACCCGTCTGACGGCTAGGCAGCTTATGTACGCCACCAAGCCCTCTGAAACAAAGTACCTCTTGGTAAGTAGTCATTGGATCTCTCTGATGGCTTCACGATGTACTCTGCAGTTTGTAGTTACATGCAAGTGCAATGAGTGTACGTGTATACTCTTTCCATGGGGAAACTGTGGCAGAGCTCTGTGTGTGTGTTTGTCTCTCTCTCTCTCTCTCTCTCTCTCTCTCTCTCTCTCTCTCTCTCTCTCTCTCTCTCTCTCTCTCTCTCTCTCTCTCTCTCTTTCATTCTCTCTCTCTCTCTCTCTTTTACTCACTTTCTCTCTCTCTCTGTCTCTCTCTCTCTCTCTCTCTCTCTCTCTCTCTCTCTCTCTCTCTCTCTCTCTCTCTCTCCCCCCCCCCCTACCCATTATGTAAAGAGCTGCAGGTGCTGCTGCTGGTGTTTCTGCTTATGCTGCAGCTTGTCTGACGTGTATGTAGCTCATGGCTACATAGTTTTTTTATAGCCACTAAGTTGGTACATGTATCAGAGAATGCATTGGTGAGCTGGTGTGTTTTCTTCGTCATGCTGTTCTTATTCTCTGTGTGACTGTCTGGGCAGAGCTCTGCGGCCTTCTTGCATAAAGAACTCCCAATTCGCATCGCTCACATGGTGAACCGCTTCCAATCCTTGCCTTATCTCGTCGGACTCAATCCGCATGTCTCCAGTGTTGTAAGTCTCGGTGGACTGATTCTATTTTTCCTTTAACGACACAACCATGTTCTCTGGCGTCTCTTCACTGATAATGAAATTCGACGAGAACCTCGCCTATCATGTTAAGTGGCCGGAAGTGTCTGGATTGGGTGACACCGGCACCGTCTCTTTCTCTCGCACTCTCTCTCTCTTCTGTCAGCAAGAAAGTTCTATACTGTAAAAGCCTTCCTCAATCTGCGGACAGAACTATTTCGTCCTTTGTGGACTCATAAACGCAGCACCGAGAAAATGTAAAAGCCTTATGTATAACGAAGCGCCAAATCTAACGAGTTGACGAGGAGAAATCTGTCGTTAAAATAGAAAACGTTCTTCAGATACCGATACTTACACTGTTGCTACTGAGTGAATAAGCATTGAGAATGAGTGAAAATCGTTACCTTTTGGTACACGTCAACCGGTCAATCTTAAGGAAATCGTTTTATTTGGGTAATGGCTTTAGCGGTACTTGTGTCTTTAAACTGAACCGTCCACCTCTCCACACTGCGCTCTTGGCCGAGTTTGTCGCTACGTCTGAGTTACTTGTTTATTTCTCTGCTTTATTGCAGCACCAGCTTTATGTGGTGTCCTTCCGAGCGCTGACGGCTGTCCAGCCGATTGTAACGGAGAGCGAGGAGGTGGCGTATTCGAAATTGCTTCGCGTTCTCCTGGACAACCATGAGGTAGGAGGAGGCCGCGAGATGGCAGTGTCTCTGCCCGAGAGTAGGCCTAGGGTTGGGTTGACGGCATTGTTTGAGTGCAGTAGAACTGCCCGTTGTCCAGGCACGTTGAGACTCTGCACTGCCCATAACTGGGAATTACCCGTACCTGGGAAGTCGGAGCATGTTAGTACACTGACATCCGACCCAAATTGCAAAGCTGACGCCCTGGACCAGCTCCGATGACATCATTGTATTTGTACATGTGTACGTCCAGCCGCATTCGTGCCACTTGCAGGGCGTCAAGGGCGTGCTAGTTGAGGGCGCCAAATATGCACTTTGGGTCGGATTTCAGTGAGCGCAACTGTACATACCAGTAACTGATTGTTTGCAAGTAACGACTTTTGATGCCAATCAACATTAATTTTCTTGGTGCTGAATTTTCCCTGAAAAAGCCAGTTTTGGAACTTCAGGAGTGGTCAGAAAGGTGCCCGGGTTCTGGGAAGTCCGGATTAGGGGAGTTTTGCTGGGCTATGTGTCTGCAGTGTGCATCAGAACTCTCATTGTTGCCCTCCTTTTGCTCTGCGTAGTGGCCTCTCTCAACCGGTGTGTGTGTGTGTGGGTGTCTGTGCGTGCGATTCTGTCCCATCTAGAGCATTTGTTTCACCCTGTGTGTGTGTGTGTCTCTCTCTCTCCAGGATGTAGTCACTACCCTGGCTCATGGCTTCCGAGAATGTCGGGAGATTCTGCCCATGAAAGTTGTGAAGCAGTTCCTAGATAGCTTTGTCACGTCACGACTCGGCATTCGTATGCTGGCAGAGCACCACCTCGCACTGCGCAAGAATATGGTATGAAGTTTTGTTGTGTGTGTATGTGTGTGTGTGTTCGTGCACGTGTGTGTCTGTGTGTGTGGCGCGTGTGCGCGCGTGTCTGTGTATGCACGTGTGTGTGCTGGGGGTGGGGGTTTACTCAGGCCACTTCCAGCACCATCCCTTATGTTTGAGAACTCACCAATGCGAGTACTGAGCGTTGGTTTCACTCAAACCAGGATCAGCTGCATGGTGACCGCGTAGAGTCTTCCAATGATAATCCCTATGTCTGCAGATTTACCCTGTGAATATTGAAGTTTAATGTACCGCCGCGAAGAGACCGTGCTATACGATTGGAGATATGTACCCAAGATGGCGCAGTCTGGGGGGGGGGGGGGGGTGGCTAGTATAGTCAGACCTCGCTTAACCGCACACATCTGTTTTCCACAAATAATATCTGGATAGGCGAGGGAACCGGATACTAGTAATCAAATACACATACTGTATTTATGCATGGCATATGCTGTAAATCGGTAACAAACAATTTTCTTCTGAATGGTTAGGGATCCGGATAGGTGAGGTCTGACTCTACCTTTTTTACGACCTGCTCTAGTACATCCGTGAGCATTGTTGTACACAGTTCATGAGCCGTTGTGCAGGGTTGGTAATTGGTACTACAGTGAGTGCAGTGGTAGTGAACTATAATTACTTGCCTTGCCAAAACGGAATGGCAGGGAAAGCGGTGCATACCGCTGTGTCAAACGGAGGGACTGTTCTCATGTCTTTGTACACATACACATGCACGCTCACACACACACACACATGCACACACGCACACACACACAGTCATACACACGCACACACATCACACACACACTTCTCACGTCTTCACGTTGGCGCTTTCTTTCTTTGCCGTGTCCTCCGCTGCTTCAGGATGGACATGTTGGAGTGATCAGCACGGATCTGTCACCGCGTGATATCATCCTGTCGTGCGGCAAATACGCACAGTAAGTTTGCTTGCACTGCGCGCGCGTGTGCGTGTGTCGGTGCACTATCTGTTTCTCTTTCACCTGTCGTCGACTATTTAACCGTAGTGTCGCGTATTGAAGCGGGGCTTACTCCTGTAAAACCTAATGTCAGTGATCGGTTTCTATTCGAGCCAGGTATCTCTATGTATATCAACACTAAAACCAGGATTATGTGCCGCCTGTGCATCTTGAAAATCAGGATTGTATTCAAAACAGGCTTCTATACAAGATGGTATTTGGAATCCACTGTATCCATCGGTATAAGCTGCACTTGCGTAAAATTGCCGTTCCTCCACTATGTTCATGTGTGTGTGTGTGTGCGTGCATGCGTGTGCGTGTGTGTTTGTACGTGCGCTGTTCTTGCCAGGCGACAGTGCGACACTCGCTACGGCCGTTCTCCCAAGGTCAACATCGTCGGGGACACCACGTGTACGTTTCCGTACTTTGCCATGCCACTCAAGTACATCCTGGATGAGATCCTGAAGAACGCGATGAGAGCCACCGTCGACCGACACCGTCGCTCCAAGGAGCTGCCGGCCGTTACGGCCACGATCTGCAGTAACGACTCCGACTTTACTATCCGGTACGTGCATATGCGTGCTGGGTGTGTGTGTGTGGGTGAGTATGTGTGTGTGGAGGGTCTGTCACAAACGGCAACGCATAACCGACCTCCAAAATACTAATAAATACTCCAAGATGAAGCCCCCATCTCCCTCCTAAACGGTATCCACCGCTTCTATCTTCCATGCATCACAATTTCACTCTTTGTCACAGTTTCACCCTCCACCCAGATTTCCCCTTCTTTACTACGGTGCTCAACACAGATGTAGCAAAATTACAATGAATAAGATAAAGTGCTCCGTCATAGTATGTAATCGTGCATCTACTCCACTCTTCATGCATAGCATAATGATGGTCTCTGTTTGTCTTGTTCTCTCTGTCTTCACTGCGGTGCTGCTGCTGGTGTGTGGGTGTATGTGTGTGTGTGCGCGCGTGCGTGTGGGTGTATGTGCAGCATTTCCGACCTCGGCGGCGGCATCGCGGCGGAGAGCGTCCAGCTCATCCAGGAGTACATGTTCACCACGTCGGAGGACGTGTCGAAGAGCGCGCAGTGCGACGACGACGACGGCGGCTCGGGCTTCGGCATGTCGGCGCTGGGCGACTTTGTCAACTCTGCACAGCAGTCGTCCGCCGGGCCCATGTCCGGCTTCGGCTTTGGCCTGCCGACGGCGTGCGCGTTTGCCAAGTACCTCGGCGGCTTCATCGGCGTGCAGAGCATGTACGGGCGCGGCACCGATATCTACGTGCACCTGAAACACTTCCAGTCGCCGCACCACACCATCTACTTCTAGGCCGGGACATCTACTTCTGGAGGCGGCGGCTGGCGATGGTGCCGCTGCAAAATGAAGGTCTTTGTTGTCTTGTTGTCTTTGTCTTCGCTGTGGTGCGGTGCTGTGTGCAGCATTTCCGATCCGGGCGACGACTGGCATCTCGGTGATGGTGTCGCTGCAGCGGCCGCGGCCTGGAACTAGCTCTCAGCCGTGCGTGCGCTTCGTCCCTTCTGTCGCTTTTTCAACGGTGTCTGTTTTGCCTCGAGGACGTCGAGTGGTTTCCGCTCTGTATGGTATCTGTCTATTTATATATATTTGTATTTTTTTTGTTTACAGCCGTGAGAAGTTTTCCAGTCCCCCGCCCCACGGTAGCCCAACCTGATATCTGGCGTTCGTATCTAGCAATTATCCCCCCCCCCCCCGGTATGATTTTTTAAACATTCCTTTGTTATTACCGTGTGCCCGTGACCTTTTAGCGCTGGCTGTCGCCGCTCTATATACAGCTGTTCTTACCACACGGCATGCTGGCTTCAAACGTCAGCTGTGTGCCCTCGGTCTCGTGCGCAAGTCCTCTCCGCATCTGCTTGCGTAATTCTGCGTAGCCATCCTCCACGCTCAACTGGCCTCTGCATACGTTATCATTATTACTATTATTACTATTACGTGATGGACGATAAGCTACCTCGCCGGCCTATATTTATAGTATTTTTGTTGGTTTGTTTTGAAAGTCGTGTGTTGTGCCTACGTTGTTATTATCATTATTATTACGTGAAGGTCGATAAGCTACAACACCGACCTATAGTATTTTGTTGTTGTTGTTGTTGTTTTGAAAGTCTTGTGTTGTGCTGTCGCTGCGGTTGCCCTCTCTATCTTATCAACCCAATGTATTTATTAATACCGCCGAACGTCTAGTAGTCACCCCTGCTGCTACTATCGTCTAGTACATAGCCGCAGATTCACGATGCTCTATTTCCCGAAATACCCCAGTTCTCGCGGGCAACCTGATCGTGTTGAACTTGAATCGATTTTTTTGTTGTTATCAGATTGGTCACGGTATGAGCACTTATTTAAGGCTAGAGAACTCTTACAGGCTTATTTGGGCAACCTTATGACGGCCTTTCACCGAATTTAAAAATGTAGTGCTACTTCTCATGCTGCTGCGATCATCTCGCTCATTTGCTCCAATACACATAGCTGCTGATTATTCTGCTCCGACCTCCATTCGCTGTTGGATTTTGTTGAGCTGTCGGCGCGCGCGTGTGTGTGTGTGTGCTGTTATGTGACGTGCATGTTCTTGTGTGTGTGTGTGTGTGTGTGTGTGTACAACCGACGGTTCCGGAGGCGGCAAGATCTGGAACGCCACTTGGAGCATTGCCTTCCTCCCCCCTAACCTCTCTGACAGTACCTCCCATCTGGGAGCGGCGTGGCCAATCCTGGCAGCTGTCAATAGTAGTAGTTGTAGTAGTGTGTGTGTGTGTGTGTGTGTGTGTGTGTGCACGCACACGTGTGTGTTTTCTTGACTTCTCCTCTTCTTTCACGCTAGTGTTCGGCATCGTATTGAACTACTACTGGTACATTGCATTATACTGTAGTCTAGTGTTTGAACATCTGGGAGCTCGATCGTGTCTTTGTACAAAAATAGTGCCAGTGCTGACTTTTGATGTGTTGTACTTCTGCACACGTACAATGTAACCAAGAGTCCAGAACCCCAAGAGTTATGGACTTTTGTTGTTGTAACCATAAATCCGGTTGCATCCAGGCCCAGGGAGTCATCAAGTTAGTACTTACCTATTTTGACGACTCCGTGATCATTGATTGCATCCAGGGAGTCGTAAAATACCAGGTATTTTACGACTCCCTGATTGCATCCCATGAATGATCCCGTCTTTACTTTCTTGGCATGAACATGATGACATCGATCGACATCGACAGCTCGTCAGCAGAAATCTAGCCTTCGCTTCGGGCGATCTGAGATCTCTCGCGCGACACGCGGTCGGTCTCGCTTGCGCCGTGTGCACTGCATTGTGCATTATAGCAATAAAAACTGCTTTATGGCAGTTTTCTAAAAAAAGTTATTGTGTTCTAGTCCATGGACCCCGTCTAAAAAGTAAGAAATTAACGAAATGTGATAGCTGAAAATTAAAATTTCACACAAAACCTCACAATAATCACAACACTTGAAATGCTGCTTTCAACTTTAACTTGTACTGCACCAACAATTGGCAACATGCATGCATAGTAAAGAGGATCACAAGGGGAAAAGGTCTTCTACATGTAGCTTTTAATTCTGTGTGTGATTATTGTGAGGTTTTGTGTGAAATTTTAATTTTCAGCTATCACATTTCGTTAATTTCTTACTTTTTAGACGGGGTCCATGGACTAGAACACAATAACTTTTTTTAGAAAACTGCCATAAAGCAGTTTTTATTGCTATAATTTCTTTTGTTTTTTCTGTCACCAATCAATGGAATGCCCTATATCAATATTATGTGAATGATGGCCTTCACATCATATCAAGAGGTTTATGTACTCTTGAGCATATCAATACCGTATTATACGCATTGATGTGCAAGCCTTTTCTTGCAGAAAATGGCACTAGCATAATGCATGTTGTTCTTCTGCGGGGAAACATGTGAGTAGTGGTGGTGATACTTTTTTTATACGGAGGTCATTCTGTGCATGTTGATGTTGCAGAATTTCATGACTCTGTCATAAATTTGTCTTGCCTTTCAGATAGTTCAGATTTCCCCACCCTCGATCAGATTTATTTGAGAAATGTAGCCATGCGCCAGGTGCGTGTCGCAGATGTTTTTGTTGATTCTGTGTTTATTTTGGTTTATAATCATGGGTTATCGTGATAAGGTCATCCTGCATCATATTGCACTGAAATCGTAATCCTGTTGATGTCGATACAACTTTTGGAAGTAGTTCAATGACTTCAAACTCTTAGTCCACGATTTTCTAAAACAACACAGCAAAGGAGGAACAATATACATGTATTAAAATGTAAACAAATACATTGCTGAGTCCGACACCTCGTTCCAACAACTACCCTGATCCTGATGATAAAAGGGTCAAGGCTATGGTTGGAGGTACTGATACTGAGAGATAAACAAGGCACTCCATGATAATAAAATCTTACATATATTTTGGTGAGTATGAATGATATCCAGTCGAACCTCTTTAGGACGAACACCAAGGGACCGATGGTATTCAATTTGTGAGTTTGTCTTAATTAACCTATTTTATAACCAGTGAATACAATTATTTCTCCAATAGACATACGAATAGATTTCTTCTACAGCGAAAGATTCTAAGCCACACCGACTCGTTGACTCGTCTTGTATGAACGAAAAGAGTCACTGGAGAGGTTCTGCAAAACGAAAATGCGTACAAACTTTCGCTCTACATCATGAAGTGCGAAACTTCGCACGAACGTCGGACGCGAAACTTGCAGGGAACGCGAAATGAACTGTCGTAGGAAATTTCGTGAGATCGGGTCATGGCGTACGTGGACTTGGCCCGCGCAAACTACGAAAATGTGCAGAACGCAAAGTTCGTGCAAAAATTCGTACACACTTTCGCAAGGACTGTCGCGAAACTTCGTTCGAATTTTCGTTTTGCAGAACCTCTCCACTGAACCTTTCTTTAGCAACATGACGGCAACTGAAACAGCAACAGAGAAAGTACGATACATGTACTGCACATTCTTGCAGGTACTACAGGTACTACAAACAGATTGCAGATCGTAATTCTTGCTTTGGCGGCACGAAACTTTATTTGGGGCAGTGCAATCTCGGCGGTACTCACAAATCAAACAGCCCAGACTCGAGTAAACACGTCCAATCATACAAGTACGAGATTTTCACGAGACGAGACTGCACCCATTGGCTTGTTTCGTATGAAGCAAACAAGTTACTGAACCTCTCCACAATGGAGATTTCCCCTGATATGCGAATTTATTTGGCAAACTCGGTCAATGAGTCCTTGAACCTTTCCCTCCAGATTGGGAACTGCCAACGATAGTATGCCACTGACCAGTGCCTTACTTGTAACATACTAATGTGCAATGAATATGAGTATTTCGACAACACATCTAACATAAGCCTTACCGTCAAGAAGGTGAACTCGCCTTCTTCGCACACTGTAGGCAAGGGCAAAGAGATAAAAATGGATCTAAATCCGAATAAAATCAGCACACGTTTCCGTAAACGAAAGGGTGAGCATAAGCAAATGAATTGAAGGAAACTGGTCAACTCAGAGATCACCTGTCATTGAGAATTCCGTAAAAGGAGGCCTCGGCAGCGGAAAAGCTAAATTTAGAAAGGAGATCCTGTCAGCTTTTCCATTATTTATTGCATTCCGCCCAAAATCAGCACGCTTCTCGTAAATGAAAGAGTCAACACAAGCAAATGAATCAAAGGGAACTGGTCAACTCACCTGTCATTGAGTAATATTCCGCGAAAGGAGGTCTCAGCAGCGCCGAAACGAAATAAGCCAGGCCAGGAGACGAAATATCCGAAACAGCTCATACAAGAAGCAGTTCCAAAGGAGGAAGTAATTAGTTCCTCGCGCATGCACATCCGAACACGGACTGCACTGCATCACAATGTCTGCCGTGCACGTGCACAGCACGCGGCTACCATCCGTTGGTAGATCTAATACCGAGCACCTTACGTAGAGACTTACGTAGCCTAAGTGAAATACCGAGCACCTTACGTAGAAACTTACGTAGCATAGCGATGTCGTTTTTCTTGCCATGTGAACACAATTACCCATATAAAAACCGCTCTGTGAGCGGTTCTGAAAAACCTCTACTGGTGCAGCCCCGTCGTAAAAGTAAGAAATTAGAACTGGCGCATTGTCCTCCCAAATGTGAACTGATCCACCTAAATCGCGATTGACGGGACCCGAACGCACCAGTAGCACGAGGTTCCTACCTGTGGATGCAGCTGGGGACGCTGGTCCATAGCCAAAGCCAAAGCGGCAAAGGTGGGCTTCGGGGTAGATCTAAGTGTTGTATGGTAACTTGATCAGCGCCGACGCCGGCTGTGATCCTGCGCCCTCCCGACCTCGTGCTACTGGTGCGTTCGGGTCCCGTCAATCGCGATTTAGGTGGATCAGTTCACATTTGGGAGGACAATGCGCCAGTTCTAATTTCTTACTTTTACGACGGGGCTGCACCAGTAGAGGTTTTTCAGAACCGCTCACAGAGCGGTTTTTATATGGGTAATTTCAGTTCTTTTTCTGTTCCCTCCCCCACCCCACCCCAGCCCAGCTCCGAAGATAAACATGGTGAGCACGCGCGCGATGCACTGTATGTAGCCATGCAACTGCAGTAGCACACTGATACATTCCAGCCCTCCCCACCTCGCTACCCCGCACACAGACACCTTGTGACAAACACGCACATGCACATGGCACACACACACATGGGCACGCACACACATACATACACACACACACGACCCAAACAGGAAATTCTTGATGAACATTGTATAATGCCATGCAAAGCAGTGGCCACCATACTTCAGGAAGTCAGTTGTGAAACAAAAATAATTCAACTACAATGTGTAGGTAAGCTGGCGGCCAAAGCACAACATTGCAAACCGTGATGATATTTGCCTAAGGATTGCAGTTTACAGACCATACCATGGAAGCAGTGAATACAGAATTATTGTAATGTCATACAAAGACAAGCAAAGAAGTGGCCACCATACACCAGAAACTTGCAGAAAGTCACATATCCAACAGATAGAGAAGTGAACAGCATCTGGTACAGCCCACACAAAACCAAGCTGACCTGATACTCGTCCGAAGATCGTAAGTGGCAGATCCTTTTCAACGATAGCATGCAGGTGTACGTTACACGCATGGACAAAATCTGACCGTGTCACCGGCATACATTGTCATCACATGCATACCCCACAAGTTACACACATGCACAGTAGAAGCACAATAAAAGCAATGGAAAAATATGAAGGGGTTGCTGAAGCATCTTCACACTTCAATTTCAGACTTCGATGTGGTCGTCACGGGGTGATATACCTGCAAGATACAAGTGATACAGAAAGAAAGCATAAGGTCGTGAGGTAGGCTATGAGACACCACAAATGGGTCACCTGCATGTATGTTCAGGGCTGGTGTACACACACACGCAGAATTATCATAATCGAGAATTTCCCAAACTACAGAAGAGCAATGAAATCCATTTGCATGCACAGGAGCAATTTTGCAGTATGATGCGCAGCTCGGGAATACACCTGTTGGCAATGGATTACATTCCCATTGGAATTCCCATTCACGTGGGATTCACAGAAGCAATTTGGCAGTGTGCTGCGCAATGCGACACGACCTGCGATTCTGCGTGCGATGCAAACTCGCACAAAATACCATTCACAGAATCACGACAAGACGTCAGCGATGCAACAGCGCCTTGCTGACGTGCCTCAAGTCAAAGCTCAATGAGAATGCGTTTGTCGGTTACAACTGGTACAAATGTACAAGCAATTTCTGAAAATGCTCCTGTGAATCCTGCTTTAAGCAGTGCAGGAATGTCCCTCCTCCGCTCCCCCCCCCCCCCTCCACACCCTCAGGGAACTTGACAAGGAAGGGTGGTCTTCGCGGTTCCCAACATCTATTTGCAGTTTCTGGTCTCCACTATGTCTTTTCAATGGGATTTGTACGTACCATAAAAGCAAGCCTAAAAAATGAACAGCACATTTGCCGTTCCCCACTGGGGAGGATGCGTTCCACAGCTATCCTGATAAGATATTCCGAGAAGCGGTGCTGAGTGCAATGCATTGTGAAACTGAAAAAGCTGACCAAGCCGCGGCATATAACGTCTAAACTTCAATTGTAGTTCGCCAGCTGACTACTTTCAAACTCCATGTAGGTTGGAGTACAGCTGGCTTAGAAATTGACAACAACGGCGCACGCACATAAGCAATGGCCACCTTACCTGTACTGTAGCAGTACTTCCGAGTTCCCGTATGGGAGTTCCCTCACTGTGTGTGCAATAGCAGCCTCATCGGACCAGTTCAATGCGACGCGGACAGTCCGACACTGAGGAGGACATTGAAGAAGTCAGAGACAGGAAGAATGGTTGATTTACAATTCAACTAGCAAGGCTGCACACCCACGAAGTTCCACTCACCATTGTGCCGTCCTTCTTGGAATGCAGAAATAACGCTTCCTCTCGAGAACGCAGCCTGTGACAGAGAAAAAGGAAGGAGCATCGCCATCGGCATTGGTCCTCTGCTATCACCGATTGCCGAGTTGCGCAGTTCACTCTAACAAGACTGAGGATGTTCAAGAACTCCCCATCCATACCATTATTGGAGTAAGAGGAAAGGTCAGATTGCCTAGTTCCTAGGGCCTAGCATTCCTGGATGCCAGGATGTGCTGCCCCCCCCCCCCCCCCGCCCCTCCCTTCTACTGCCTGGAAAGGGCAACATATGTGACAGCGTTCACCAGTACAGTCGGAGGAGAACATGGGAGAAGGCAAAAAAGGGCAACACACATGAATCCCTTATAAACAAGCAGTGGCAACTCTAGCACCAGCAATGTTGGACTTACATCCCAGCCATTGCCGCCGGATTCAGCGGCTTCTTCTTCTTCGTCTCCCATCTTGGAAGCACTCCTTCCCGTAAGTTCAGTCCTGGGATCGGGAGTACAGTCGGAGGAGGACGTCGGAAAAGGCAAAAAGGCAACACACATGATTCCCTTATAAGCAAGCAGTGGCAACTCTGGCACCAGCAGTGTTGGACTTACATCCCAGCCATTGCCGCCGGATTCCCACGCTTCCTCTTCGTCGTCTTCCAGTTCCCAGGTTCCATCTTGCAAATACTCCTTCCCGTAAGTAAGTGCAGTCCTGGCCTGGGTGGATGCGCAGTACATTGACGATGGCGGAGATGGAGCAGGTCAGGGAGCCCTGTAGGGGTCCCGAGAGCAGATTGTGGCCAAATTCGGGACGATGCCGGACGCCAGTCAGTATGAAGTAGCGAATTGCGGACCGCCACGTAGATTGGGGTCGCGGGGTCATAATCCATGGGCACTACTCGTACGTTGCTCCAAAAAAGGGCACTGCACTGTTCCACAGTTGCTGTTACTAAGTGTTAGCGGTCGCCAAAGGCACTTGGTAGGCCGGTAATTGGGTCACGTGTCAACAAAGTGTCAACAACGTATCAACAACGTGTCGACCACGTGTCTTTAGCGGTACACTAATTTTGGTGTCCCCAAACTGAAAACATCGAGCACCAGTATGGAAAGGCTTTAGACAGAAAGCCTTTCCAATAATAGAAAAGCTGACAGGATCGCTTTTCTAAATGCAGTGCATCGGGACACGTACAGTGCATGCATGATCATGATGATGCGTTGTCAGATTTTTTGACATTCGGCACGTGCACCAAAGCCGACACACGTGTCTTATTATTTTGGTGCGAACTGCGGTGATTGGCCAATATTTTGCGGGAGGCGATCTGATTGGTGCACATTTGGCGCGGAATGGGTTCAACTCAAACTCAAAACTTCGTACTGCGCGATCCCCAAGAAGAAAATTTGTTGGGTACGCGTATGCATGATGTGTGTACGTCGCATCACTCCATCAGTGCAGCATCAAGTGCAAGTGGGAGCAGTGCCAGTGCAGCAGCTACGTGTAGTGGATGCTGACTTGTTCGATCTTCGTCAGACGTTGACGTTTGTGTGCGGGATTGGAGGGGAAGTGATTGCTGTCTGACTGTACTCTGTAGCGCGATGCACGTAGAGTTGTAGTCGAAGAGTTCACTTGTCGAGTTGTCTTGGTGGATTGTTGCCGGGGAGTGCGAACGGGAATCTCTCCTTCCTTTGAGACCTGTCCGTTTTGTCGCCGTTCTCAGCAGTAAATTGTCCAGGCATCACACAGTTCACAATGCTTCGTCTCACCTTGTTGCTCGTGGCGGTTGTTTTCACGGGGGCGACAAAGAAGAGTGACCCATCCTATGACCACCAGACGAAGACTTATCACAGCTTCGCTGATCCAGCCGAATGCTCGTCAACAGCAGGCCATGTAACTCCGTTCTTTTCGCCTGACTCCAGCATCCAGACATACGTATCGCTGATCGAGTCGGCGGAGAGCAGCATCGATGTCTACACCCCAGGTGAGTTCCTCCCTTTCCTTGTTCTGTGTGTGTGTTGCCTCTTTTCGGTTTGTACGCCAATGCAGTGTTTCTCCCTTGCTTCTCCCTTGCCGAGCCCTTGCTTGGCATCCTGGGGTCCTGATTTGGGCTAGTTGCCGAGTTGCAATGGAGACATGTACATGCATGCACCCCACGTGGAAGCTCGAGGGATGGCACACGCATGCATGGTGTATCCTTACAAAAATAATTATTTCGATGTTGCACCACGCGCCCAGTCTGTAAAGTTCAGGAGCTCAGGCGCGCAGAATCGAGTTGTGTTTGTGAAAAAGAAGAGCATCATCTTTCTTCTCACCATCGGTATTCCGAGGCGCCGTTTGTGTTTTTTCTCTCCGGTGGCAAATTGTTTGGTCACTACAATTATTTTTTGTAGTCTTTCCGCCACATGGCAAGAGGTTGTTGGTAGAACTCGTTGCCTGTTTGGTCACTACAATTATTTTTTGTAGTCTTTCCGCCACATGGCAAGAGGTTGTTGGTAGAACTCGTTGCCGTGGTTCTAAATGCAAAGACTAAGGCAATGGAGCATAAAGGGTGGACCGTGTACCGTGCAATGGCGAGTATCATGCGCTTGCCGCAGTCCTGGTCCCAATCATGTGCAATCATGTAGGTTGTGCAATGAATAGTCCACAGGACAGGTTGGGATACATCCCCGTCCGGATGATGAAGAAATCGCGCATGGCTCTGCCTGTGATGTCAAAACCAAGGCGGGCATAGTTCGCATGAGCGTGCTTCAATGCAAAGCGAGAGGTAAAAGTGTAGATAATTATTGGTTCTGAATTTTTTTCGCAGATTTGTTGTCTTTAGGCGCCATACAGATGCAGATCTTCACGAGTAGATTATTTTTGTGGAACTCTAGCTTCTTTTGGTTACGCGTGCGCGCTCGCATGAATGAGGACGCACGCGGCACACACAGCATAGAGATTCTCTTGTGCAGTCGTGCTCGGTGAAATCCGAGCCAGAGCGCAAAACCGGCACCCTGGACCAGTTCTGCTTACATCACCGTATTCGTACATGTGTTCACACCACTTCCTGGGCGTCAAGGGCTGTGCAATTCGAAGGTGCCGAATATCCAATTGGGGTCGGATTTCACCGAGCGCAGCTTCAGTTGCCTGTTTGTGTTGCGCACACCGCTAGAACCCGGCTGGAACGGCACGATGCAATGCGTTGTGTTGTCTTGAGAGCTGGGCGTACAGGCTGTGCTACAGTAGCCACGTGTGTCTGGAAGCTATCCTCTCTCCGAGGAGGGGCAGAGTCAACTAGCGCTGACCCGCACAGTGTGACTCTGTCCATGGCATCCAGTCTACATTCTTTTTTGCATGCAACAAAACAATTCTCGTCATGCATTTTGTGTTTTGGTATACTCAAGGTAATATGGGATTGCATCTTAATTTAGCTGTTGTGTTTTCCGGTGTGTTGTTTGCGGGATGTTTGTTTTCTTGGTCAGGTTTCTCCAGCTGGTCTGGGTGCACGCACTACGACACGAAATGCGTCGGCTGCACGATCGCCAACCAGCGCAACGAGAGCTTCCCGGTGTTTGGCGCCCTACTCAACGCCGTCCATCGTGGCGTGCAGGTGCGTGTAAAGCCGTGTATGTAGCGTGGCTTGCTGGTTAGGGCCAAGACATCACATTCATCATAAAAATTAAGATATAATTTCTCACGGTTCGTGTGATACACAATTAGACCGAGCTTTCCGCAGCCGTGGGAACCGGGTTCAACCCCACCACCCTCATTCGTGATGTGTCGCATGCAAAATGTCAATGTGATATTGTCCGCATTGTAAATAAATTCTAGTTGATATTCGCTTTCAAGAATGTGTTCGGTGCGCTCAAACCAGCACAACACCCATTATCGTCCTGCGAGTTTGTGTACATTTTGTGCACATGTGATCGTTGTACAGACTGTGCCTGAGCAAGTTCGGCATTTGCTGTCATCCTGTGTGTGTTTGTTGTGTGCGTGCACGCACGGGCACTGTGTAAATCTTGGGGCGTTGCATTCCTGAGCGCTTCTGGGACAGAGCAGAGCGGCTAGTTTCCGTTGAGTTTTTACCAGAAGAGCGGCCCATGTATCTGACTTACTGTGTGTGTGTTGTGTGTGTGTGTTGTACAGGTACGCCTGATCACCAACAACTACAACACGCCGACCTGCGCCGGCCTCATCTCACCGCTGGACTTCCTCTTCCTGAACGGTGTCGAGATCCGCTTCTACGCCAGCACAACCTTCATGCACACCAAGTATATGATGATCGACAAGGGCAAGAAGACTAGCGTGTCGTCCGTCAACTTCAGGTATGCATTCTTCACTGGGCCGTACATACCTCGGTCTGGGCCTTTGTGTGTGTGTGTCTGTGTACCTAAACCTACCTGTTTTGCAATATCATCCACTAGTGGCTGCTTGCCGCGCACTGCTAGAACCCGGTTGGAACGGCACCAGTGTGTGCTGTAATGATTACTGGGCGTACATGCTGCGCAATAGAAAACCTAACTGCCGTGCAACCATTGCAGACTGTCGATCACTGTCTACAGTCTCGGTTTGGGTGCGAGCATTCCGCTGGCAGACATACATGTTTGGTGCACATCCAGTGCATTTGCAGATTTGCGTGTACATGGGGTGTGTGTGTCTGTCTGCGTGTTGAGAATCTCCTCTGTCCATGTGGTGTGAGCGTCAATGCCCTGTTTTCTCCGTTGTAGCGTGCATTCGCTGTGTGTATTTAGCTCTACTTTGAGGAGTTCTGAGCCACGGTCGTGTATAAATCTCGTTGTTGTGTGTTTGTGTGTGTGTTTGTATTCTTTCTCTGTTCACAGCCACACGTCGTTCATGAGGAACCGCGAAGCCGGTGTGGTTCTGGAGAATGCTTGTAGCGGCCAGTCGGCCTTCTTCCAGAAGGTATGCAGTTGTACTATGACTACACGGCTATGCTCCTGTTCAGCAGAAAACATGTTCAAATTGTGCATGTGGTAGGTGACGAAACTCTCTCTCTATTTGCTTGGTTCACTTAGCCATTTCACGAATCAAGTACACACACACACTGATTGAACCAGGGCAAGTCATCAAATGTTCCTCCTCCGTGTTCTTTCCCCCTGCTGCAGGTGTTTGACTATGACTGGAGTGTCGGCACCCAGTACGAGCCAACGAACACGTACTCGTCGACGGACATGAAGCATATCAAGGACTCTTCGGTGATCTCGCTGGACGTTCCCAACCCGCCGGACAACCCGAGCGCTTACCAGACGCATGTGGTCAACCATCCCAGTGTCGTCGTGCCCGCGGTACGTACACTCCTTGATTTGAACTGAACCGTTGCTTCCCTCTACGTGCCCGGGACACCGTGCTCTAAGCTAAGCATAGAGTGGTTTCCCATCTATCACATGACCATACAGGACAGCCATGTTGGTTACGAATCCACTCAATCCCCTGCATCCGTGGGTCACATGATGTCGACCATGTTGTTCCGCTGCCCAAGTGAAATGATCACTTTCCACACGAATTTAGTCACATGCCAAAGATGTGAAACCACTCTGTAGGATGCAGCGATAATCATAGGCTATCCAATCACGGCTGTTTGAGCGTATACCATGCGTACCGCGTCGGAGAACAGTTGAGCCTGCTCGGTGTTGTGTTGATTTGACGAATAGTGTTGGCTATCATCCACTGCTGGCTGCTTGCCGCGCACTGCTAGAACCCGGTTGGAACGGCACCAGTGTGTGCTGTCATGATTACTGGGCGTACATGCTGCGCAATAGAAAACCTAACTGCCGTGCAACCATTGCAGACTGTCGATCACTATCTACAGCCTCGGTTTGGGTGCGAGAATCCCGCTGGCAGACATATGCTTGGAGAGTGCTAGATTTTGATTACGAGAAGCCAACGAAGCAGTAGTTATCTCCTCCAGATTTGTTGTGTTGTCTGAAGAGATGTGACTTGGTCTTGTGTGTAGTGTAGGAGGTTGTAGAGTGGTTTCAGATCTTTGTCATGTGACTAAATTTGTGTAGAAAGTGATCATGTCATGTGGGAAGTGGAACCGGCTTGGACAACATCTCGTGACCCATAAATGCGGGGTTGCCTGGAGTAGGAATCAATATGGCAAACCCGCATGGTCATGTGACAGATGCGGGCCCACTCTTATCCTTTATTCGCGCCACAGCGACTCTACTCCTGCGGTCACATGCATGCAGTTGCACGTGTTCATTATCACCTGCTGTCGCCTGATTTCTGCTCGCCGTTGCAGGTGTCTACGAATCCCGACAGCGCTCGCAAGCAGCTGATGGCGGCGCTCGCCGGCGCACAGAGCAGCTTCCAGCTGATGATCTACCAGATCACGGACGACGGCCTGTGCAACGAGCTCGTCGCCATGAACAAGGCCGGCGTCGACCTGACCATCCTGGTATCGCGGCGCATCTTCAGCGCGCCGGACTACTATAAATCACAGGTAGGTGATGGGTGCGTGTGCTGTTCTTTGTGTTTGCTTTGTCCCATAGCCGATGATATGCAACCTGGCCTCGCAAGTTGCCTAGCCTGTCTGCTGCACACGCTGGTTTTGTTCTTTAGTGTGTGTATGTTGCAACTTGATCATGAGGGGTTTGATTCAGTGGGGCTTCATTCCTGTGTAGGACGTGGGCTGAGCGCACTGTTCCCGTCTTGTAGCAGTAGCTTTGTGGGGTGATGGTGTGTAGAGATGGTGTCGCGTTGATTAGTGTAGGCTAAGCACTGATCTCCTTTCATTGAAGAACGGCGTTTGCCAATGCAGCACATGTATAGCGAGTTGTCACCTTCAGGGACGAGAATCTTGAGAGTCAAATCCTTTCCTGCGTGTCCAGCTTGTAGCTTTCGATGGTGTTCCCTGCACGCTGCTAGAACCCGGCTGGAAGGCCGTCACTCGACAGTCTGTTGATTGCTGGGCGTACTTGTCGTGCCATATTGACTGCTGCTTTGGCAGCGGGCAACACGCTGTCCTCTCACAGTCCGTCGTGCTGCTTTGCGGTGCGCGACGGACACAGGGACACGGTTGTACAATAAATCTTCATCAGTTGTTCTTGTTTAGCCTCCGGTTTTGCGAAAAAGTTGCTAACATTTGTTATTTTTCTTTAGCCTCTGGTTTTGTGAAAACTACCCCCTCTCCCTCTGTGCAGTGGCTAATGTGATGGAGATGTGTTTCTTCCGTCCGTGTTGTCCACCCCTTGCTCAGGATTGCTACGCTAAGTTGAACTCCAGCGGTATCACTGTTCGCCTCACGCCCTCCTACTACACCTACTCTCATCAGAAGTTCTGGATCGTGGACAACACCGATGTCTACCTCGACACGGGTGAGTACTCTTGCTAATAGTTACTGTTTGCAGGACATCTGTCACAGTTTTACTTCCCCGGAGACGATTACACAGTTATGTGCCCTTTATCCAATCTGAGTTCACTTTAGGCTTGCTCCGTGTTGTCCAGCATTGCTCGATCTGAGTTCATTTTCGATACTAGTATGCTCCTTGTTATCCAGAATGTTCTCTGAGTGTGTGTGTGTTGTGTTTTGTGTTTTGTATTGTGTTGAGTAGTCTGCCTGTGTATCACATCCATGGGTTGTTAGGCGAGACCAAAATAAAATAAAATCGAGATTCCCGGACAGGAACCATGTGAAATTGGTGCGGGCGAGCAAATTTTAATTTTTTTCCTGTCACAGATCTACTCACACGATCAGTACTGTACATGGATATGAACTGTTCAAAAATGACCTCGGCTCAGTTTTGGTGTGGAAGGGGCCGGGAATCTCTATTTTTGTTGGCCTCGCCTTAGTTCAAGAATTTAGTGGATCCTGATACGATACTCTGCTGTTTATTCATTGTTGTGCATGCGTGCCTGCAGGCAACTGGTCTCCGACGGATTTCTCCACTGGTTCCGAGTTTCCGCCGCACAGCAGCTCCGCCTGGCAGGACGTCAATCGCGACCTGATCGTGCAGATGCGCGACCATCGCATCGTCAGCCAGTACGCGTCCGTCATCACCAACGACGGTGCCCGCGGTAGCTACTGGCACCCCACGCAGACGTCCGTGCAGTAGGTGCCGCCTGGACAGTGTGTATCTTGCCGATCCAGAAAGCTCCAACACATCACTCTTCACTGACGCCGCTTGGTTTGCCTGTGTGGCTGAAGTCAGAACGGATGCTTGTGTTTGAAGTACAGCTATCACCCTGCTTGAAATTGTACTCCCGTACACGCCCTCTCGCGTAGCCCAGTCGAGGCTGCCGTTCGTTCCCACGCTTGCCGACCCGTCGTCGTCTATATCTGCCGTGTACTTGGTTATTGTCATCATGAACACTCTAGCACTGACCCTTCTAGGGTACTACCTTCTATTTTTAGGACTTGAAAGAGACGATGTCACCCGCACAGGGCATCCGATTTGCCGCCTTGATCTATTTAAAACATTTAACCGCCTAGCACCCGGGCTAAGCTCTAGCTCTGGTCTTGTTTTTACTCTGCATTTTCGCTTGACTTACTCGTGTGCGTTCGTTTTCGCTTGCACTGCTATCCGTGCAGCCATGCTCGATCTTGTCTTATTTTACTTGCCAGTGTAGTTTATTAACCTAGAAACTAAAAAAAAGGCCAAAAAGGTTATTTCCATCTAGGCGTTCTTCCCGTGGTTACAAGATATTCTGTATCCGGTTTCCATGGTGATTTTACTTTTTGTTTTTATTTTCCCCTCTTGGGGTTTTAGAGACCTAACCCTCACGGAAAACATGTTTAAAATGTTACTTCACGAAATATTATTTTTGTGGCAGCATTTTTGATCCTACGTATAGGTATGCATTGTTCGTAGGTTATCGTCGTTCTTAGCGCAATTTACTGCCTAAAAAACTGGTACTACAATAGTATTGAGACTCTAGTTCTTTTGTGGGTGTTGGTGTCAGGAAGTACTGCCAGTAGTAGCAAGAGTTATGTACTCTTGGTAGTAGCAAGAGTACATAAACCAGAGTTGGTTCCTGTGGGAGCGTAATTCGTGCAGAACGTCATTTCTGACGGCATGGAGTTTGTCCTGATTTCGGTTTTTTGATACGGATAGCCTGGTGAATTAACTTGTCGGTGGATGTACACAGTCCCATAAAAGCACCGAAACCCTGAAACATGACGTCTACAATCAAGCGAATTTGGCTGATTTCTGGGCTAACACGAAAATTTGAGCTGTGTGCAAGTCAGGGAGTAGTACAATACAGTATTGTACTACTCCCTGATGCAAGTCCCGGCTTGGCTGACCTTATCACGGTGACGTAGTGCACGAACTGCGCTGTTTCAGGTCTGATATGCACAGTTGCACACTCTGATTTATGTACTCTTGGTAGTAGTAAAAGTCTTGGTTACTATTATCAGGGAGTAGTAAAATACTGGGAGCATGCACGACCAGAGTGACGATTGCCTCAGAACTGTTTTCACCCAGCAGGTGAATAATATGCAAGTGCATGCGCGTGGATCGGGATTTACTCGATCGGTGAGATGGACTCAATCTCATACTTCTTTTGAAATACTAACTAACTTGTAGCAACAAGAGTACATAAACAGGTTTATGCACTCTTGCTTGTACATGTAGGGTATACAGCTGGCGATTTAATTTATCTCGCTTGGTACCAACCGGCCAAAGACGGAAGTAAACTGCAGACCAAATAATTAACTTTAATAGTTTGTCAAACTCAGAGTCATAGAGGCAAATGATGCATGATTAAAAGCCGGCCATGGATGCATGTGAGAACAACATGCAAATAAATTCCGATCGATATTCTTTCTTGAAACCCTGGTCGGCCATATACTTATATCCCCCGTGAATTCCGCGATTCCGCGGATTGCAGAATTTCCGCAGAATCCAGTAGTGTCCGCAGAATTCAGAAAATCCCGCGGAATATTGCAGAAAAGAGAGAAAACTGCTTTTTCTGGAGGATTTTGCTGTATTTCACAGCCAAACCAACCCGCTTGTGACTTTCAAAATCAACTAATGTTACTTGCACGGTACATTTTGGAGCTTTCAGTTTTTTAGACCAGGATTTCGAATAATTTTGGTCCAGAATTTATAGAGACAATGAAATTCGGTGGTGTTGCGGAAATTTAAACTGTTTTCACGCTCATTTCCCATGGAGCAATGCCGCAGAATTTGGAAGGATTTGCAGAATTAGCACAGAATTTACTGTTTTCAGCCGCAGAATTCTGCACGGAATTTCTGATATTCTGCAACGGAATTCACGGGGGACAGATAGTTCTCACTGGCCAAAATTTGTTGATTTCCAGTATGAGGGCGTGAACAGATGAGCCCTGTCGAATGCATGCAGGCAAGCAGCACCAGAATCAGTCCGGGTGAAAGCGCCACAGTCGTATCGTGCCGTCGTCGGAGCACGAGGCCAGCAGCGCCGCGTCCTTCGGGTTCCACGCCACGCAGTTGACGTCCTGCCCGTGCGAGTGCGCCTGCTCGCTGGTCGCGCACACGTACAGCGCCGGCGCCTGACTGCTGCCGCCGTGTTCGCCGCACACGTCCACTTCGAGGACGCGCACGCCGTTGTCGCCACAGGCCGTCGCCAGGCGACCGTCCGCCGACCAGTCCAGGTGGTACACGGCGCGCTCGTGCGGCCCGCCGCTCAGCGTCGCCGCGCACTGCCACTGCGACGTCATCGCCGCCGACGATGACGTCATCGGCGCGCCCACGTTACGCCACAGCTTGACCGAGCGGTCCTGGCTGCACGAGGCCAGCAGGGCACCGCTGGTGTTGAAGCGCGCGCACCACACCGTCGACTCGTGGCTGGTGAGCGTTGCCGCGCATGTCCAGTCGTCGTCATCCTCGCAGAACAGCTTAATGGTGTCGTCGTACGATGCTGAGCAGAGGATGGGCAGTGTGGGGTGCCATGAGACGTGCTTGACGTCCTGAGAGTGCACGCTCTGTACACTGGCACACTCCACCTCCAGGTCGTCCTCCTCCTCCTGCCCGATCTCCCAGATCCACACGCTCTTGTCGCGCGAGCACGTCGCCAGCAGGTCGCCTGAGGCGGACCAGGCCACCGACTTCACCTCCGACTCGTGCCCTTCCAGCGTGGCCACGCACTCGAACTCCTCGCGTCGCTCCCACACCGACGATGTGGCGTCGAAGCTGGCGCTGGCCAGTCGGCGGCCGCACGGCGACCATGCCACGGTTCTCACCGTGCGCTGATGCCCATCTGTCAGCACCGTCTTGCAGACATACCTTCCTGGCGATTCCTCGCCCCAAATGCGAATATTCTTGTCAGTCCCACAACTGGCCAGCAGAGTTCCGGACGGGTTCCAAGCCACGGTCCAGATGGTCGTCTGCTGCGGGTTTTCCAGAGTCTGAAGGAGCTCCAGGCGAGCAGACATTGTTGCTCTCTTCGAGCTAACAGCTCATTCCAGGAATCAGTACAGCACTTGCAAACACCGAGACATTGTTCATTTGATTTCGAATTTGTATTTTCATCATTCAGTTTTGTCAAACTTTTGAAACGTGCACATATTTTTTGAGCATTATTGGCGCTGAAAGAGTGGAATGATGCTATCATGACGTAAGACCCACGTGCGTTGTTCATTATTTTTTTGTAGTTGAATCTGCCACGAATGTGTCTTTGAAGACGTTCTTTGTTTCATCAGTTTCATCAAGAGTGACTCTTGCCTCTTGGTTTCATTGATTCAGTTTTTGCTCGGCAACAATGCCTCCCATCACCTGTGCCATTTGCTCGGAGAATGCGTCCAAATACAAATGCCCTCGCTGCCTCATACGGTAGTAAGTTTTTTCTTCACTGAGTGGAAAATCGTTTGTTTGTTCGGCATGTAAAGTTGCAATGTGAGGGCAGTAAACAAGTCCGTATCCTTTGATTCTGCTCATTCCTTTCCTGAACTTCCTGAACAGTTGCTCTCTAACGTGCTTCAAAAGCCACAAGGGTAAGAGTTTGAGCTGAGCTTGTTGAATTGAATTCTTTATTCTCACGATGGCACCATCGCCATTAAGAGATTATGTTTTTTTAATTCTTTATTGTTTTCGTCATTGAAGGACATTAAAATTGTTTGTCATGATAGCATGGATCATTATTTTTATCTCAGTTCACACTCATGTTAACCATACGTCCTCACAGCACTCTTTGAAATGGTCTCTGGGGCACGGCTGTCCCGTGCATGCGATCAGTGGCCATCCAAAATGGCGTCCAGAAATTTGAATTTTCAAATCTGGTACGTCCGTCGTACCTGAAAAATAGCATCGTTTTAGAGTATTTCGATTACTTTCAGACCCGTTTTCAGCGTTAATCGTAACTTTCCCGCAGAAAAAATTGGTGTTTGGGCGAGGAGAAAGAACGGCCTTCTTCCTGACATCGCACTCGAGAAAATCCGAAAGTGTTCCGTCTTTCTTGAGGTCGCGCATGGCGGAAATGTAGTTCCACGAAGATGTTGTGATTGTCTACAATACCGACGTCTCTGTAGACCTTCGTGGAGTTTTCTGAGCCTGCTGGGCAGTTTTGTAGGCTGCTCCTGGCCTTTTTTAGCCCCTTTGTTCATGACTTGTTGAGTCCCACGCAGCGGAACTTGGTCCCGTGCGATATCTTTAGTGGGCAGTCATGGACGAACATTTGTCCATTTTGGACTCAGTATGTCGTGTTGGTGGTGCCAAGTTCACTAATCTAGGCCACAGCATGCGCTATAGCACTCAGCAATATAAACAGCAATTAAAACAAGTCCACCAGATCGACATCACAGAAGACAAACCTGATACACACCCTAAATACATATGTTCGCTATGCCAACGTGCGCTGGCAAGGAATGCATCTGGCACACAGCATTGTGGAGGTGGTTGTGGGTCACCAGTCACATGGGAAGGTCACAAACGTGCTGGTTGCACTGTCTGTAAGTTGTATCAACAACGCTCAAAGGGTGGAAGGCCGCCGAAGAAAAAGACCAAATTGCGCGGCGGAGCCTTACCAGACACGGGAACCAGCCAGGCTACGGCAGTACCAACGCAGGTAAGTGTGGTCAAATTTGGATGTGCAAAAAGCAACATGTCAGAGCCTAATCATGGATGTAATCCTTTTTATATTAATTCTCTGTCTTCATAACAGGTCCCAGCCCCAGCCGTGGGGATCGAGACTCGCACCGTCGAACAGCCGGCATCATTAACGCGTGGTACAGCTACAGCTGAACAGACTACCAGTGCCGAACAGTCTGTATCACAATCACAGAACACAACAGCAGCCACACCAGCTCCCTGTGCGCAGCAGTCCGTATCGGCTACGCCCAGTACAACCGTTGTCGGTGAAACAACAGCAGACACTCAGGTATACAAGCAGAAATTGATGAAACAAAATTGGGAATGAACACACATGCGCGCACACACACACACACACACACACATGCGTGCACACACACACACACACGCACACACATGCAAGCACGCACATGCAAACACGAACACACACAACACAGTGTTCAACGGCAGCAGACATACATCAAAATCAATGCTTGTAGGCACCTATACAAAAGAAGTGAATTGAGTCGAGTCCTACGCATGCAGATAACCATTCTCAGCAGTAGTATGGTGCAGCATTCCATGAAACACAACTGTGTATACTACTATTATATCTGTGCAGATCTTTGAAACGGCCACGGCAAGCAGTACCTCACAGCAGCAGCTGCCAGCACCACATGAGCCCGAGATATCTATCGACACACGCGCATCAGTATCCACACAGGTGCGTATCTCTGTTATAGAGCAGTCTGTGTATCCAATCCAACCAGGTCTTAAAACTAAAACAGAAATTGTCAGATTAGATAGTGGAGATATTACAGAAAAGAAATGAGCTTCGCAATGGACTGAATATAAAGAAAGGAAATGATAGAGCAAAATGGAGCTGCATGTGGCAAAATTCCTTGCCAACCACAGTAGTCAACAGTGTGGTGTTTCTACTTGTTTATTGGCGTCGTTGCAGGTGTCTACACCACTAACCCAGCAAGGACTGACACGTCCGGTCACCAAATCGGCGACAATCGCTCAAGTCCTGGACGCATCACCATCCAAGCTCCGCGGTGATACTGCTGACAGGCTGCTTGGCCACCTGGTTTCCGCTCGTTCTGACTCAGGGAAGCTGGAGGTGAAGCAAAGTGAGCGTGGCAGACCGCAGGTATATCAAAGGCTTACATTCGCTGACACATCCTCCGAGGCAGCCAGTGAACGTACGAAGAGACGGCGAACAGCAGAACTGAGGTCGCTCACTGAGTCTGTATGTGGTGGAAGTGCCGGCGCCAGTGCCCAGACTGTAGCAATTCTTCGCAGGATGAGCAGCGACGAGCAGATGGATCTCCTCAGAGAGGCTGGGTTGGCACCACATTCGCCCGAGGCTGGAATTGGCTTGGCCATCAAAGCCGACCTCATGCTCCCGTGGAATCAACTCAGGAAGCTGCGGCAATGGCTTAAGCAGTGTGGAGTGAAGTTCGAGTCAGAACGCAAGATGCGAACAACACTAGCAGCAGCCCTTCCACCCTACACGGCCAAGGACGTGCCAATGGTGGTGAAAAAGCAGATCGCGCTGGCACCGGTGGTGTACATGCCCAGCTTGGAGGTAGTCATCAACCACTACCTCCAGCTATACAAGGATCGTGGGCTACTGACATGGCACGATGGTGCAATACCGGAGAGCGAGGTTTGGATAAAGCTGGGCGGGGACCATGGCGGTGAATCGTTCAAGTTCTCCATGCAAGTAGCCAACCTGCAGCACCCCAACTCGCCGGACAACACCGTACCGCTGTGTGTATTCCACGCAAAGGACACGCCAGCGAATCTGGAAACTGCACTTGGTATGTACCGCGATGAGGTCTTGCACCTTATCTCACATGGCAAATGGGAGGGGAAGCGGCTCGTCCTCTTCATCTTCGGAGACTACGAATTTCAGTGTAGTATGTACGGGTTGTCGGGACCAAGTGGCCTACGTCCGTGCTTACATTGCCACTGCAAGAAGAAATCTATGGAGACGCCAGTATTGCAGAGAGAGCCTGAGGACAGTGTACCCCGCTCCCTGGCCACCCTCAGTAGCAACCTGCTGGAATTCATCGCAGACGGGGAGAGATTACCAAACGCCAAGTTACACAACAACGTCATTCGTCCGGCAATCCTTCCTGTGCCACTACCCAACGTCATCGTGCCAGTCCTCCACCTGGACTTGGGCATATTTGCCTGGATGTTCGATGCAATGCTGAAGGATCTGCGTGAGCTGGACAAGCTCTTGGCCAGCAAGGCCCAGTCTGCTGCTGGAGATAGCGACGCTTTCGGACGGCTATCTGGCCTCTATCGCGACCATCACGACGCAGAAGAGCAGATAGCAGCAGCGTCGGAACAGGCCTCTGGTTACCAGCAGCAGCTGAACTACGTAGCACTGCATGCCCACAACCAGGGTGTTACTGGCGGTAACTTAGAGTTCGTGTGTGAGCAGATCAGAGCGGAGTGGCAGAAGGCCAATGACACAGTGGTGGAGATGACAAAGGCAAAGGAGGGCATCTCGCAGCAGATACTTGCCGCAACTGCTGAAAAAGACATATGTGGGCCTTGTGAATCGGCAGTCGAACCTGTGCTGCAATCCCACAACATCAAGCGCCAGGTGTACCACGGAGGTGCATTTATCGGAAACCACGTGCACCGCGCACTTCAGCCCGCTGTCCTGCAGTCGATTGCTGCTGCTCCCATCTCAGTAATTCAGGAACGCTGTCCCGACCTGATGGATGATGCCAGCGTTGTCCAGTTGCGTTACATGAAGCTGCTGGACGAGTACAGGAAGTGTACTTCTGCCTTTGGCCATTGCAGGAAGGTAAACATAACTCAATATAACTATTTATTCCCTGGGAGCTTTTTCGTCTGTTCCAAGCCATCAAATTCCATTATCCACATGATTCCACTTTCGATGCAGGTACTCTGAATTTGATTATGAATATTTGATCCAGAGCTGATATTTAATATGTGCTGTTTATTCCAGGTCACACGAGCAGAGGTTGAAGAGCTGGAATCCAACATCAGGACCTTCCTCAAGTCAGCACGGAAGGAGGTGGTCGATCGAGGGCTTGGCCACATAACGCCGAAGCTTCATCTTCTGGAGAGCCACACCGCTCCGGCAATGGAGAGGCTCGGAGTAGGGCTCGGTTTGCTGGCCGAGCAAGGAGCAGAGAGCATCCATGCAGAGTTTAACACTCTTGAGCGAAGATACCGCCAGATTCCTGCTCTTCTGCAGAGGCTGAAAGCTATGGCTGAGCAGCATCTGTCCCGAACCTTGCCTCAAGCCATTCACCGTCCCACGACAAAACGTCGCCAGTCGACATGATCTCTGGCAAGTATCGTGAGTAACCAACTTTATTTGCTCTCTCTCTCTCTCCTGAACTCGAGTGGATTTCTTTTTCTGCGGCGCAACTCTTCATAGGAATGTACTCGGGTGTGCAGTCTCTCTACCTACTGTTTGCTTTCTTCATCTTTCTGCTCTACAGGCACACAGCTACTTGGCCACTTGCCTCGTCATCGAGATCGCGATGCACCGTCAATACTCAACAAAGAACTGAACAAGAACTTCTTGAAGAAAGCTTTGTTGTTTGAACGAACAACAACTGACTTGAAGTTTCCAGCTCGCGCTGCTTTGATCTATTTGGGTTTTACCTGCTTTGCCGTATGTTTTTATCATAATTCCCTCTGTTTTCTAATAATTCCACTGGTATTGGCAATTTCCTGTGTAAAATCGCATAAACGCGATTTTCGACAAAAATCGCCGCCATATTGTTAGATGGCCGCGTACGAACAGCCGTGGGGGCTACACCAATCAATGAAAAAATAACAAGATTTTCCAAATTCCTCATCATTGAAGCCCTCATTATTGTGACAAGATGATTAGTTCGTTTGGAAGGGTTTGGACGATGTTCGTATTCCTTGGCAAAAAAATAATATCTCTGGATATGGTTGTGTACTAAGAAGTGGTAGCATCTAGGGAGATGACACGGGTAACTGGAACTCGAAATGATGTGGGTTTCGGTCCTGGGAACGTTCCACGTTCTAGTGGTCCTTGAGGCAGCGTTTTAAACATGTTCACAAACCTCTCTCTCTCTCTCTCTCTCTCTCTCTCTCTCTCTCTCTCTCTCTCTCTCTCTCTCTCTCTCTCTCACACACACACACACACACACACACACACACACACACACACACACACACACACACACACACACACACACACACACTCCCTCCACCCGTCTCTGTGCGATGTACAGTCGTGTACAACGTAATGATGACATCTTGTATAGAAGACTGGATTGACTATGCTGACATCACACGTTTTCATTCTTCATTCCTTTCCCCGATGTATTGTTGCTGTGTGTGCAAACAGAGTCCTGCTCCGATGATGCACCAGCCCAGTCTCAACAGGGTCCCGATGGCACGGCAACAAGTGCCAGCAGCGGAATGCGGCCAACCAGCGGTGCTCCATCCACGGCAGGTAAACAGTATAGATGGTACTTCCACAAAACAGCACGTGTTGGCTTCTCTTCAGGTGGCGAGTTTGTCTCGGTCGTCAGGCTGTGTGTATTATCAAGACTGTACCTGTGTGTGTGTATGTGTGCGTGTATGTGTGTGTGTGCGTGTGTATGTGTGTGCGTGTATGTGTGTGTATGTACTCCCCCCCCCCCCCCCCCCCCCCCCCTGTTGGAAGGCTACCTTCTTGCCAAAGCATTTGGAAGTTGGACTAGTTTCGGCTCCACAATCCAGTGTGTCGTTACTATCATAGCTTTCACAGCTGAGGTTGTTGGCTCTGGGTTCCCAGTACTCAGCAGCCGAGGCTGGTTGGTAAAGTAACTCCAATTTCACTTCAAGGTACCAGTGCATCTAGTGTCTACTTCTATCAAGGCAGCGTGCTGTCTATACTGGTTACTCCAGCAAGTGTAGGGTGTGCATAGGTAACTGTCTTGGCCGTTTTATGCCGATGTACTCAGTGTGGTGTAGACCAGGTGTGCATTGGTGGTCGATTCACATGGCTTCGCCAGTTGTGTGGATTAGACAGTTATCTGGCGCACGTTATGATCTGTCTCATTCAGATCTTGTTCGCTATCGTTGCTATAAGAGAAAATCTGTGGGTGCACATCCAGTTCACTTGCAGATTTGCGTGCTTCTCTTGCGACGGGCGTATACATGGTACATGGTGTATGTATGTGTGTGTGTATGGTATGTGTGTGTATGTGTGTGCGTGTGTGTATTTGTGTATGTGTGTGTGTGTGTGTGTGTGTGTGTGTGTGTGTGTGTGTGTGTGTTTGTGTGTCTTCAGGAAACACAAGCAGTAGACCGTCGCCAGACAGTGAAGAGGACGAGGACAAGGACCGTGTTACGGCTGAGCAGCTGCAGGCTCTCGGTACGTGTGTCCAGATGTTGGTGTGTGTGTGCTTGTGCAAGTTAGTCACGTCATGCTATATGGGGCATCTGTAAGAGATAGTACAATAGCGAGAGTTCCCAGATTGCCTAGAGTGCTCAACAGCACAAGGACGGAGCATTATGTGCATAGCAGTCCCCCCTCCCCAATCTGTACTCTCTTGTATCATCAAGCTTCAATGCGACGTACAGTTTGTCTTATGATCTTTAAAATGACGGGTTTACGTGGCTCTAGTAAAAAAAAAAAAAAATGAGATTTCACTGTATAATCTTTCATCTCTCCCCCCCCCCCCCCCCCTCTCCTCTTGTGTTGACTGGCTGCTGCAGGTGTGTCTGCCCCGCTGCGGGACATGTTGCACAACCATCACCTGCGCGACGTGCTGCGCGGCGTCGACGCGTCCGCCAGTGCCACGGTGGCGCTCAAGGCGGCCATGCAGCTGCCCATCTTCAGCGAGTTTGCCGACGAGTGCCTGAGAGTGGTGGCGGAGAACGGCAAGGCCGACGACCTGGTCTACACGGCGGGACAGGCGCGGCCGGCCAATCCGCTGCAGGGTCTCGGCCTGCTCTGAAGGCTATGCTAGTGCAGGGTCTCGGCCTGCTCTGAAGGCAATGCTAGTGCAGGGTCTCGGCCTGCTCTGAAGGCAATGCTAGTTCAGAGTCTCGGCCTGCTCTGAAGGCAACGCTAGCGAGCACGGTGTGAACCGTGATCGCGACAGCGGCCGTCAGCACTGCGTGTCTCTGCTCTTTACGGACACGTGAAGTAACCCGCTGCTGCGCGGATGGTCCAGTCCGTCTCGGCGGCACAGCAGTTTTCGGCATTGCCGCTTCAATGCCTAACTGCACGTACCTACACAGCGGAGACATAGCAGCTGACACTGCAACTCCGTAACAGAGTACTTTGGCTAAACAAAACAACATCTGACACAACGGGCGGACAGGGTAGTGTCAGACATCTTGCCGTGCGGGCCAGCGCCGGCACGTTTGAACTGCAGAGCACGCCAGTAAAGATGGCCAGCAGTGCATGCTGCATGCTGAGTGACGTATCCACGCCAAGTGTGAGCACCAGCAGCAGCCGCTGCCAACACAGTGCACTTCATCTTCTGCTCAGTGTTTCTTGTCGCCCCTGGACAGTAGTAGTGTCGCCACCGTATTCACATCTACAGTACATGTACTCCGTCTATCGATCAGCAGATAGGCAAGATTGTGGGTCCCCATGAAACCTCTAGCAGTGGATTTGCCAATGCTATCCACATGTAGACAGCCACCCGCAGCAGACATTGCTCTTGACTGTCATTATCAACCCTCAGTGCAGCAGCCACATGGGCGAATGGTACTGTATTGTGCTGCTCAAGCGCTTGTGTGTGTTGTGCGAACCGATGCTTTTCATTTCCCCCGTGGGTAGCTGTGTTTGCGGCACATGCGTGCACCCGGCAGTGTTTCTTGGCGGACCTCCGATCTTTACTGTGGGCTATGCCAATGTGGAAATATGGCGTTTGTTCACCACACACCCAATGTACTGCTGCTGGCGCTGACCAAATACACACTATGTCTCTGTACTTTGGCTCTGTTCTTGCGCGCTTGCCTCCTGTTCCAAAATCATGTTCGCTATTCTGCTTCTGCACGCACCGATCATAACTTTTGTTATTCTTTCATTGAACCAGACCACGGCGTCCGGGTGTGTCTGTTTATTTGTGAGAGAAGTCTCACAGGTTTCACTGTACTCAGTGAGTCTCACGAGTGCATGAAACCAAGAGTGTTGCAGCTTCTGACTTTTCTGCATGGGTAACTGTCACGGCAGAACGTAACTACGTTAGCAGAAAACGTAGTCGATCTACGGAAAGTCTTACGGAAACTCCATGCGGATCTGTGGTCCGAGATACAGAGTTTTCAAACCACGTAGCTGCCCTTGGCAACCCCAAACGCGGCAGTGTACGACGGTCGACCGGATCGACCTGGGGGGGGGGGGGGGAGTCATAAATTAATGTGTACTGTAAATCAACAAATTTTGGCCAGTGAGAAACTTTGGCCGATCTCGAAATGAAACTTTTGGCCGTCATTTAACTTTGGCCGATTTGGGTTTTCAAAAAAGAAATCGATTGGTATTTGTTGCCCTCACATGCAGCCATGGCTTAATAATGCATCACTTGCCTCTATGACAAATTTTGGCCTGCGATTTACTTTGGCCGGTTGGTACCCAGCGGCGAAATCAGCGAAAATTAGTTGATTTACAGTACCCCACTCCACTTACGGAGCACCTACGTTATCAGAGCCCTATCTACGTACTCTACGTAGACACCTTTCCGTAAGTGGAGTGCAAACTCACGAATTCACGGGTTTTTCCCGCCCACTAACGTAAAATTGCTTAACTTTACGCAGTGCGGAACCGCTCTACTATGCATGCAGGTCTCCGCTGCACGGCCTGGCCAAGGAGTCTTATAAACCGCATCCCTGGTCCGTGCGGCCATACAGAGTCACAGACTACAGTAGTACTACAGTGTAAGGGCAGAGGCCCTGGTGCAGAGGACAACGGCTGGCGGGCACGCATTACCGGTATGCCACGGCCAGACCCACACTGATCACCGGCGTAAACAGCGAGTGCAAGCCAGCCACCGCACCCCACACTCAAGTCACACGCCCTGCCACCGTACTGTCGGGCGCCGAAGAACGGCCAGCCTAGAATTTCACCAAGCACAGCATACCAATGTACACGCAGTGACTCAACTGTGCATACAAGTAGACTGGTACATGAGAATAAGAACAGTCTAGGCTAGGATGCTGACCCCCCCCAGTTCTTCGGCGACCGACAGTATTGTACGTGTGTTCGTCAATCAGTCTGTTCACCGCAGTACGGAGGCCAATCTGAGTATCAGAGTGAGCAATGTGCGTGGTGGTTATTTGGAAGGGAGAACAGCACACATGAAGAGAAAAGAACCCACTATTAAAGCAAGCTTATGAGATCAAAAGTAAATCAGATCCAATAAAAAACCAGACTTGCAATGCTACAGATGTAGCAGAGTGACAGCAGGAACTACAACTACTACCCGGAGTAGTAAAAAACCGGTATTTTACTACTCCCTGGCTACTAGTACTATATTATGTACATCTACTGGTATCCATTATGTGTTCCTAAAGATAAATGATCGCCTCATATCTACGCCACGGTGTACACACATCAAGTGAACCTCAAACTCATAAACAGAGTACTTCGGCTAAACGAAACAAAAACATAACAACAACAACAGCTTTCTCTTATTGGCCACTGGCTATCGTGAGAATAAAAGACTTCAAACTGCAGCAGCAGCAGTAGCAACAACAACAAAAACAACTTTCTCTTATTGGCCACTGGCTATCGTGAGAATAAAAGACTTCAAACTGCAGCAGCAGCAGTAGCAGCAACAACAACAAAAACTTATCTCCAGCGTCGTCGAGGGCCATGTACATATCTGCAATGCACGCGTATGTACGACATCGGTCATACACAGCGCAGTCTTAAAGTGCACCTTTGGAACGTCAATGGCAGCTGCTGGCGTCGGCACAGTTCTTCGAAAAAGGCAGGTTTGTCAGTACTGTATTTCCCCGGAATATAAGTCGCATCTTTTCTACCCTTAACTTCAGGGCCAACTCACAGTCGAGCATGATCACTACTGAAGTGAATATATCGAAACGATATGACATGGAAACAACTTTAATATGGCAATCAAGAGTACTAAACTAGCCGCAAAGTTAGTACTCTTGATTGCGATAATTATGACATGGACCTGGACACGGGGTGCGCCTTACAATCGGGGAAATAAGACACTCCTAAAGTCATTACTCAAAGGATGTCCTCATCAGATCGGTAGTCAGTGTCCGGCGGGTAGCACACTCGCTTTGCGCTGCATTCGTCGTCGTCGTCGTCCCCATCGCTGGCGAAACGCTTCATGGCTCCTGCCGGACGGATGCCCCGGCGGGTGTACGCCATCACGTCACTCATATAGGTGGCGGGCTCGTTGTCGGAAACGTAGTCGGTGTCGTCCGAATCGTCGATAACGACGCAATCGACCGCGTCCGCTTGCTGTGCCCTAGACACCAGAGTCGCGGGATTGTGTTGTGTCGTTGTGGCGGGAGATGCCATGTCTCGCTGTTCCCCTGTATGCCGGTAATCCGCATTGCTTGGCCATGAAGCAGCAGCATGTGAACTTACGGGTGGAACACTGGGCTTGAGCGACATGGCCAGGTGGCCAGCTGTTGAATGCGGTAGCGGGTGCGATTCCGATCTCAGCGCTTCGGCACTAGGTCGGTCTTTTGTAAGTGAGATTGCATCAGGCTTGCCACTGGCAGGTTGCCGCGTGTCGCATGCCACCGCGGAAGCAGCTGAAGGGGCGGCGGCGGCGATTGGCTGGCGGCGCTTCAGCAAACTGCCGCCTCGCGTCGCTCCCGACGGCATGGCGGCGGTTTTCATGGCGTCCGCAAGCTCGTCAGAGCGCGTGCGGCTAGCAGTGTCACTAAGCGGGGTACTCACCGCCCGGGGCAGCTCAGCTGCACTGCGAGAATCAGCGTGACACATACTCGAAGCGCCGACATTCTCCCCGGAGGCAAACTTCACCGTCCATGCGCAGGCAGTACGCGTGAATTGCGTGCGGTTTTGCTTGAACTCGGTAGAGATATCCACCATGAGAGGGTCGTCAGGGTTCGCCTCTGCCATCAGAAGCTGAATAAGACACCAACCAACAGAAGAAGATACAGTACATGCACAAGCTGTTGTCAGAGAGAACCCGGGTGGATAAGAACTTTCTCTCTCCCCACCACCACACATACACGCACACACACACACGCGCCCCACTCACTCACTTCCTCCCTCCCCCCCCCCCCCCCCTCTCTCTCTCTCTCTCTCTCTCTCACTCTCACCCATGTCCCACTACCCACCAGAATGGACGTGAGGACAGAGGCAATGTTCATACTGGGTCTCCAGCTTCCCGATGGCGGTGGCTTGAGGATGTCCAGGCAGATACGACCACCGTTGTCAATGTTCGGGTGGTAGATTGGTGTGGAAAAACGCACCTGCAAGGAAAGGAAGGGAAATGGTTTAGCATGTGGGTTTCATGGAACGCATAGTTTCGTACGCACACAGTGGCGGGTTTAGGGGGGTGCGCGCGCCCCTCCCTCAAAAGTTTCGACCTAGGTTTCGAAAAATATAAGGCAGGGTTGGGGGGGGGGGGGGGGTGCGCGCGTGGCCTGAAACGATCGTCCAAAAGCGGTTGCACGGTACGGTGCTCGAGCTGGTGTTGATTGTACACACTACAGAGTACAGAGTGCCAGTGAGCATGTACGGCTACAGAAACACGGTGACCTGACTGTGTGCACTGTTGTACAGTGTGATCCCTGCTGGGAGCCTGGGACGCGCTCGACGCGTCTTGAGACTTCTTTCCGCAACTTTCAAGTTTGCACAACGATGTTTGAGGTCGAGGATGATCGCCTGAGCCCTTGGCATTCGAATCGTGTTTTGGTTGACTCGAAGACTTTTCTTCGATGTCTCAGCGACATCCCAAAAGGCCAAGCTCTAGCCAGCAGAGCATGGATTGATTTTTTGCAAAGCGTTACTGTGGCGGCGCAAATCCTGCTGCCGCTCCAACAGGAAACTGTGGGAGTGATGAAGTCGCTGTTATTCCAGTTGAGGTTTCGGAGCGGACTGACAGTCTTTCAGATATCATCTACCCCCACCCCATCCCGGCCGCAACCCCCCTCAGCCAAATCCTGGACACGCCACTGGCACACAATGCACCGGCTTGTTTAGTTGGCTGTGTAAGACTAATAGAGTAGATGGAAGCGATTAAGGGGCGACTCTCTCTATACAAATGCATACACGGCAACTCAACTGTGCATAGACTGTAGTGCATGAACATATAAACGGTCTAGGCTAGGAGGCTGACCCCCCCCCAGTTCTTCGACACCCCACAGCATTGTACAAGCATATCAGTCCAGTCTGACCTTGGGCGCCTCAAACGGATAGCGCTCGGGCAGGTGAATGAGCAGTTTGAAGACACCGCGGTGGTACGGCGTTCCCTCCTGGCCCAGGATCTCTGCAGTAGCAGCAGAAGAAGAGATCAACAAAGCACTAACGTAAGACCTGTGAAGGCGACCACTTGGATGCATGCTCTTATGCTACAGAGTTGGGGACTAGAGTGAGCAAGCAGAGTACATGTAGTGGCCAGGTTTCTGTCAACTTTCTAAAACTAATTTTTAAAATAATGAAACATGCAAAAAAATTGCACGGTTCGCGTGAGACTCGGCTGGAAACCGAGTTTTCCCCATCCGTAGGAAGTTCTAGGAACGCCATCACCCTTCAAGGATCAAGGCGCAGATGCAGCTCCTAAAGCGGTGGGAGGTGAGTAGATCAGCTCACCAGCAAGTGGTCAAAGACCGAAAATCCCATTCACTGCATGCAGTGAATGGAATGTAGTGAAACATGCAATGGAGTGCTGAAAGTCCAGACAATCAAAAATTGCTCTGAAAGTTGCCAAATGATCGATGTTTTGCCCTGAAACAGTGAAAGTTGTCAAAATTATAGAAGTTTTGCTCTGAAATTTGTCATACGGGTAATTACTAATGCATTCCCGTAGCTATGCAAAAGACGTTACTTCAGTAACGTCTGGCGCTAGCCAGGGTCCACACAGCTTTAATTCCGTGTTTGTGCCATCGGCATGCCTAGCGCTATCCCGTACCGTGACATCAAAGACAGCTGGCCACAATATT